GAGAGAGAGAGAGAGAGAGATGGCATTGCCGTTTTTTTCGGTCTTTTCGCAACAACATTTATGAACAAACATTTCGGAACATGCATGGGGATGCCGTCACGATTATGGGAAACATTTTTGGTCTGTTCCACAATATTTAAGAGAAACTTGTAGATAAAAAAAAACTGCTCGAAAGATTAGGAGATCGCGATGTCATTGTACCTTTTCCGTTTTTTTTCCAACAAGTGAAACAGTTTTCACCTTTGATAGTAGCCGATGCAGATCCCAGGGGTCGATCCCTTGACCTCAGTTTACCTGTGTACAGTATCTGCACAATTCCCTGGAGTTGAACCCGTGACCYGCACGATAGCCAGTGGTAAGTAGGTCGCCGTAGGTTGTAGGCTGTAGGGAGATTCGAACTGTAGACCTGTAAGGTGGGAGTCCAAGTAGAGTCCAGAGGCCTAGCTGTAGTTCTTCTAGAAGGTCGGCAAGTGGTCAAGTGGTGAGTCTAAGGTAGGCCCACGTTTTCAGACCAAGACAAGTGGCAAGGTCAACAGGTAGGACCTCAGTGCAACTGCACTGAATCGACGGTACGACTGCCTACAGTCTGCAGAAAGGTCTAGAGAGTCCCAGTCCAGTCCAGCAAGTACCACGGGGGGACTGTGAGCACCAAAGGCCGATGGCAAAGGGCAGACCAACGAGTTTCTGAAGTATAAATCAGGAGGCAACGCCCAGCCATTCATTCATTCCTGCGTGAGCAATGCGGAAGTGCTGCCACAACGACTTGTGCAAGGAGGTCTGCAGATGAGCCCGGAGGACGCAGTGGGCAAGAGAGGAGGAGTTAGCATAGCGATAGGTTAGAGGCAGCTATAGCTGCCATAGCTGTAGTTAGTAGTGAGTGTGTGTGTGCTCGAGTGTTAGAGTGATGCGTGTGGGATATCCAGGGTAATCCAGTGTATGTGAACAGTGAGATGTTTGGGCGTTGAAGTCGCCATAGCCAATTGAGAGTGAACTCGTATCTGAAAGCCATATCTCTGAGTTTTGAGTGGCCGCATGTCGCCAGTATACTGCGTTGCTGTTTACATGCATGAAAAGTGTGTTTGAGAACGAGTCTGATTGCATTGGTATCGGAGCTGGTACCCGCTATTCCATGTGCGCCGTCGTATGCAGGGCTTGATG